TGAAGGAGATGGAATACAGCCTACCAAAATGAAAAAAGAATTTAAGAAAAGAATAGTACAGGCGGGTGATTTATGAAAGAATATCATCCATAAAAATTTTGGTGGTACCTGTGGTGCAATTCAGTTTCAACATCATTTAATTGGACAATAGCTGACTTTAAGCGAATGGATATCAAAACGAGAAACTTCAAAATGCTTTCTCGATTTGACATTACTTGCATCATCCTAAAGCCGGTTTTGATCATCTTTATGTTCCCAGATTCGAAGAAGGCAGAGGATTAGTTCAGCTAGAACTGTTTCCAAAACGACAACAAACGGCATTTAAGATACCTAGAAACTACAGAAGACAAAATGACAATCTGTGTTAAAGAACAGGAAACAAATTATAAACATTATTCCGTGACAAAGGAAGTCAACAAATTAAAAAAAGGTAATTTCTAGTGGATGAAGAAGAGCAAGTAAGCATAAATCACCTCATTCAGCGGAAAAGAACCTAAAAAAGAAGGAAAAAGCAAATGCATTAAACCAAAGACAGAAACGATGGCAAGATAAATCTCTTCATGGACAATACTCTTGCTATGTCAAAGAAGCTGATGTAAACAAACCCCATCAGTGGTTCCGTAATGCACGATTAAAAGCTGGAACTGAATATTTTATTCTTTTTTCACGGGACAAATGCTTGCTGACTAGAAATTATCAAGGGAACATGCTGAAAGATAGTGTTCACTAAAACTACAGACTATGTGATGAATATCCAGGAACAATTGACCATCTTGCGTTAGGTGGCACGGTATTAGCATTCACTAAATATAAAACTCGGCATGACAGGGTTGGCCAATATATGCACTAGAAAATTTTCAACCTTTATAGGAAAGAAACTACAAGAAATTGGTATGAACACCTCCCAGATCCAGTTATGGAGACAGGACCTGTAAGAGTTTTATGGGACGTTACAATACACACAAAGGCAACAATCATAGCTAATCGCTCAGATATAGTGATTTCTTATTGATATAATTCCTGTAAACTATATTATATCTTTGATTATCTTGCAAAAGCCATTACAATGCAAAGATCTTGAATTGGAAAATTAAAAGAATGTGTGACATAAAGGCATTGATAATTTGTGGTTGGGACTCTGGGTTTGATTTGAAAAGGTATTGATAGAGTCACTGAAATGATCCTTGACGGCATATTTCTTAAGGAAATACAAAAAAAAATTGTTCTCACACCTTACGAAGGACATTACCTATGTAAAATATGTATGCATTCGCTATTGTTTTACACAAATGTCCAATGAAAAAGTCATGATGTCATTTCTAAGCGAGAGGAAACGAGTATACAACAGAAATAAAATGAAATGATAATAAATAATAATGATAATTTAAAACCAGGGGCAGATTTGAAACAATAAAAATAAACTAGACTACAGGGGAAATCGATGGTGCATTAAAGAGATTTGCTGCCACCTATGCACCAGTGTAACTCACTATATATGGCTGGTGTAAAAATTGACAGTGAAGAACAACTTATAAGAATATGGTATTTAAACACAAATAGTATTCCAGTTATAATAATAGGAACACGATGAATGCATGAAAAGTATACTGATTTATCTGGGACGCAAAAGACTGTGTTTACGTACTCAGGAAAAGGTTTTCAATAAAATATGCTCAAAAGCTTCCTAAGAAAAAAAAAACTTCCTTTAACTCAGGTTCACAGTAAAAAACTTCATAAACTATTTTATCAAACAGCAAATCAAGAAAAAAATACAGCAACAACAAAACCAATAACAACAACAACAACAACTACTAGAAATTCACGCGAAAATTTAACGGTTTTCCCATTTTAATTTTGTGCTGAATCATAATTCTTAAAATGAATGGATAATCTCCTTGCGTGTTCTATGGCTATAAAATATCGGTAGAAATGTCCCTATTGAATCTTTAGATATTTGAGCTTAACCCCTGTAACAAAGGATCGCGATAGGGGGAGAAGTCATTACTTAAAAGAGCAAGAGGTTACAAATGAAAAAAAAAAAATTGAAATCGACAAATGTTTTTCATTTCCCTGGAGTAGATATTAAACGCATGAGAACTTCATCGTTTTTATCTTGTCTTCTCTTTATTTCTTATTATTACGTATGCTTTCACTTTCTCACTAAAACCAAACAGCGTCTCTGATATATCTTTTTTATTCTCCTTTTCCTTGCAATCAAAACGTAATTGTCCAACATTTATTAGTAGAGCGTAACGTACAGCCTAAGGAACTAAACAACAAGCGTGATGATAATAAGTTAATAGCAAAGGACAAGAGAATACTGAAATATTAAGGATACTTACTCTCAATAGATCTCCATTGAAAATCCTTAGATGATACCAGCTTAAAAAGTGAATGAATAATAACTATTATTAACAACTATTATTAACAATAAAATTAATGTATTAACATTTAAATTGTTTTAAACGAGACTTGCGAAAGCATTTCAAGGAATGTTAAAATAATAAGTAAAAATAACAGAAAAAATGATAAAAGTCACACATGAAATGAGGAGAAAAATGTTGTCAATTAGACGATGTCCACTGCCCATTATGCGTTTGTTGTTAATGTCTTTAAAGTTCTCGTAGTCATTTTCTAAGTCAAATGTTGGTTTCTGGTTCAAATCTATTGTGTTAATCGGTGTTACTTTGTTTTTTTTACATGTCATCCAGGCATTCTTTACAGGTTTCTCCTTTTTGGAGTTCTCTTCGTTTACCACTTGAACTTTACACACTATAATCGCTCCAATTGTGCCAATCCCGCTTAACGAGGTTAAACAAATCAGAAACAAGATGATCAACGCCGGATGCTTGGAGTTAGAGGTTAGCGTTTTATCCATTTCAACCAAATAGACAACGTTTGTGAGAAAAATTGTTGTGGCGAGCGACACTTTTTCTCCCGATTCAGGTGGAAGTAGAAATACACAGAGGGTCAAAATGCTTAACACCCCCGCAGGAAGAATCCTCGCCACAGAACTGATTTTAAGCTTTCGGGTGAGATACACTGTTGCATGAATGTATGGTTCTGTATCATTCGATTTCTCAATGGTATCATCCATTTCAATATCCCACTGGTAGTTTGGAAAAACCTTATAAGACATTTGAACAAGATTTTTAAATGTTACGTGGATGTTCTTTTGCACGATGATGCACAGCCAAATTTCGCAGATTTGTTTGTCGAAAGGGTACGCGTAGACGTCTATGTCACAAAATGTTCGTAGAATCTTTGTTTGCATGAATTCGATCAAGCCGTTGCTATGTAGAATGAGCTCAAATGTGTTTCCGCTGTTTTTGTTTGCCTCATCTTCCGAGTTGCAGACAATGATGTTTGGCATCCAGACATATTTTGAATCAAGATAAATACTTGTAATGTTTCCATAATTTTTTGGTTCCCAATTCAAGTGTTCGTCTCTCCAGAATAATCCTAGACTTGCACGGGTCACCAAATGTCCTTTATCAAGATTCAATTCGTAGAGCGAGTAAATAGTTAAAAGAGCCGTGATGCCAATTTGATTGTTTAAATCTAAAACAGGGCGTATCTCCTTGCTGTAATTTAAGAAGAGGTCATCTCGTAATCGTTTTTCCTCTAAGAATGATATGCCGGTGGTCGAGTGTAGAAAACAGACAAACAAGAAATTTAGAAGTATGAACATTATTTTTTAATGTAATTTTATTCAAAAAATATATATCAAATATGAGCTTGCAATAATTACGAATATAAAATCAATTTTCTGATTAATCTCAAAGTAATGTAAATATGACGGAGTTAATAACTGTTCATTTTGTAAATATTCACTTGGGATTTCTGTGAATCAATTTTTCTAAATAAAGAAAATTAATAAAGTGGAATTATTCTCAATTGATAATTGTTTACATATGAGTAAATAATAACGCTATATTTGAAACAATATACGAACACCCGGAAATATGTTATCCAGTGTTGAAAAATCTCATTGTTCTTATTCCATAAATGCTTTGAAAACGTAAATAAATAAACGCCTCAATGTCTGCTGTTGTACGGAAAATAGCAAATATTATTTAAGTTTCGTCGAAGAAAATTTTGAATATCTATGACAAAAAAAAAAAAACGCACCAATAAATTTCAGTCCAGTTGGAATTTTTTTTTTTAAAGGAAGAGATTTAACTCATTGAAAGACTAGCACGAGATCATCTAAACGTTGCTAAAGAGATCCGTTCAACTAATATATACACAAATTGCACGAGCAAGCACATTTCACGGTTGGGTGTCGTGTTTAGTAACTAGGTGGCAGCATATGTTCATAATAGTTGAGGGATTTCCGGTTGTAGATGGCGAGCCAATTATAATCAACACAATCAACAAATAGTAAATGACATCCAAAAGCGTAAAAAAAACAAAACAATGTCCTGTGTATCCGCTAAAATAGTCGATACCGTCATGCATTGTAAACACACGTGCACCTGAATATATAAGTAACAGATAACAGTAGATAGTATTGAGAGAGAGAGAGAGAGAGAGGTAAAGAGTAGGAAATGTATATGTTTGTGTGTGTGTGTGAGAGATATATAGGAAGAGTTAGAGAGATATAAAGATATAGAGTTTGTCTGTGAGAGATGAAGAGATAAATATTAAAGAGATGTACGTGTGTGTTTGTATGAGAGAGAGAAAGAAATAACAAGAGATAAAGAAATAGAATATGAAAGAGGGAATGGGAGAGAGAGAGAGAGAGAGTGGGAAAGGACGGTATAACACCGATAGCTGCACAAGAAATACTATTAATCGAATTGAAACGAATATAAAGTATCAGAACAACATCAAAATGCGCGCGCCCATTCCCAGTTTCTCTCTCTCTCCCTCTCTCTCTCTCTTCCTCCCTCTCTCCTCTCTCTATATATATTCTCTTTTATGTAAATTTTTAATCAGCCAATGACGTGGGAGTGATTTAATAGATACATTGAGGTAAATATCTGACATGGTAAGGTTTACGGCCATATCCCGTTGAAACATCGGTTCTCGTACGATCACCGAAGTTCAGCAACCTCGAGCCTCGTCAGTACTTAGCTAGGTGAGAGGCTTGGGAATACCATGTGCTGCAAATTTGAATGTGTCGCTGGAGTAATCGATAACGACTCGGAATTGGAAAGTTGAATAGAATTAATTCAAAAGAAGCACTACTAGTAACATATTCAAATTCACTGGCACTGCAGTAAAAAAGAAACTTCTTAAATATTACGTATTATGGAAAGTGATTACACCTTTCTCTGCTATGACTTAAGTTAAATCAAAGTTGAATAATAGAAAATTGCAGCTCGAATTAGTTTATCGTCTCTTCTATTCTACAATTGGGAAAACTTGCAAAGTAGGAATTGGTGTTCGTCATGATCTTTTATATAGACCTAATAGAAACAAACCAGTGTAATTGGTGATCAGTGATAAGCATTATTTAGAGGAACGATTGAGTCCATGTATTCAGTGTAATTATGTATTTTATAAGTATGAATTATGGGTCAGCCAAACAAGCCGGAACCAAGGCTGAATGCTGGGAAACTGCATGTACCAGGGTAAGTAAAAAATTATCGAGTGGCTATTGTAGAGGGTGAACATCATTGTAAAAACAATCTGAGAAGTTGCTGTAGACTGAAACTTTCCCTGACGATACAGATTCCCATTTTCAGTACAAGTTACATTTTGTTACTGTTTTCAGTAAACCTTCGGGTTGCTCACATGTTCCGAGCATGATATTCCAAATTGGCATCCGAGGAAAAATTGGAAAAAAAGAAAGCGTCAGAAACCTGCGGACAGGGCGAAAAAATCGTCCAGTAGCTTAAATTTCTGATACAAGGAAAAACCCAGCGAGTAATAAGTTAAATTGAAGATTGCTCAATACAGTAAGTAGAGCAAAAATAAAATAAATAAATCCTAATGAGCCAGGTACTACCTACCTAGGTTTCACCACATGGGATCATCAGGGTGAACTGGCTAACCTATCTACGAGTGAAAGTAAAAAACTTATCCGCACTCTTAACCTAAAGATATCTTAAGGCGAAAGTGCAGATAATTTTTGAATTACTCTCGTAGAATTTATCATCTCTTCTATACGATAATGTGTTGTTTATAGTACATTTTAGATTTTAACCCCATGGAGAATTATAAATTTAAGAAGCAGCGTATTATTCATTGTTTAGTGTATAAGGAAATGGTAGTTCTGTCACAGATGTATTTAAAATATGTGCACACTGTAGACAGATGCAGTAAAGGATCGTATATGTCAGTTGTGGTTTAAAAGGTTAAAAATGTTGATTGTGACATATCTTACAATCTTCTCTCTGGAAGACGGCACACGCTAAAAGAAGAACTTGTTCCACATCCTCCATACTTTCCAGATTTAATATCTTTCAATCTTATTTTCTAGGAAAAACTAAGATTTCTTTAAAACTGGAATCGAACTTTTGCTTTTGTTTCTTGTTAAAAATAAAAAGTGATCACAATTTAAGTAAATTTAACTTATTTTTAAATTTTTTCCTAATAAAACGTAATTACTCTCTGAATTTCTGGGATGAGGATTTATCCTGATATACACTATTTGCATTCGGACTATTGTTCTCATCTTTGTTGTTGTTATCACAAGGTTTCGACCGTTATGGCCCCCGGCCTTCATCAGGTGTATATCAATCTGAGTACTCTGTCAATTGCTATGTCAGAAAATCACGTAACAACACTTTAATTTACTAGGATTTTGTCCCGTAGGACAATTTTTTGTAGTTACATAGTAGTTTTGAGTTCAATCCCTGGACCGGGCAGTGTGTACTTGGACTCAGTGGAATCGGTATGAGCAATAAATGAGCAGTACTAAAAATAAGAACTAGACGAGATATATTTATGAGCAGTGGAACGAGAACAGTCTACCGCATAAATTAAGTAAAGGATTCAATTTAGAATTTTCTGTAGGTTACCCAGATCAATATATACCTGGGGAAGGCCGGAGTGCACAACGGCCGAAACCTTGTGATAACAACAACAAAGATAAAGACAATAGTTCGAATGTAAATAGGGTAACAAACATAATTACTTTCTGAACATTCTAATATGTTGAAACTGTGCCCAAAAGACTCAGAAATGTTTTCAAGGTAAATCGTAGCCGCAGTAAATATCAAATTAATACTCATATTTTAATAAATTTTTTTACTTAGTTCTGTTATTTTACTCTTTGTTATGTTGATTGCAATAAAATGTGGCTTTACATATCTTTTCCTATATCATTAAAATCAAGTGATACTTTGTGAAAATTCTGGTTGTTGTCCAAAAACAAAAGCACGACTGAAGTAAAATAAAAAAAAAAAGAAAAAAAAGAAAAAGATACTAAACTATGAATCCAGATTAAAGTTCATGTATTCCAGGTCAAGATCAAGATCAATAAATCCACAGGCTGGTACATAAGTATTTGCAGAATATTTATATGAAATTTTCACTGTACTATATTCAATTAACTTTATGGCGGGAAAACAGGATTTAGTGCGTTGACAAGTCAGGGACATACATTGGAAAAGAAATATTTGTTGTATTAAATAAATATATTTTCATCATCAGGTTCTGGGCTTACTGATGCATATCTATATCTATAAAGTCCTATGAAAAAATTAAGTCATCGCAAGAAATATGTACTTATTTTTAAAGGAATATGGACATATCAATATTTGATCTTCTTTAAAACAATAAAGGAGAGCTTATAGTTATTCCAACGAGAGAAAAGTGTATGTTTTAAAGATATGTCTTACGATGCTTAACCATTGTCTTTTTTGTGTTGTTGTAATCCAAATGAAGAAGGAAAATACTAGCAAAAACACACACGCACACACAATACACAATAAGCTTAAAAAGATACAGAGGTCATAAAAAGATAAGAACAAACACCTCCTTCCTTCGCCATTTCTCTGATCAATCCTAATTATTTTATTACTCCACAAGCAGAAAAATATTTTCTACACAAGTTCAAGAAAATTTGGATTATTACTACACACAAAAGACAAGAGTTAAACATCGGAAAACATAAGGAAAAATTAATTCCTTTAAATAATATGCGGGAATAACCACTCTTCGCCTGATGAAGGTAAAAAACCCCGAATCATTTGTAGCAGAAATATGGAAAATAAAGTATAATATATATTTAAAAAAATCCACATTAAAATCAAAAACGTTTGCGGCTTTTTCTTCTCTTCTTCATTATATATATATATATATATATATATATATATATATATATGTGTGTGTGTGTGTGAAAAATATATAGAAAATAGGAAAGAACTCGTTAGGTAAATAATCCAAAGTTCTTTAGTATTTTTATTATTATTTTTTAAAAAAATAGTGCTCGATAGTAGAGCATAAAATATATATATATATATATATATATATATATATATATATATATATATATATATATATATATATATATATATATATATATATATATATATATAATATATATATATATATATATATATATATATATATACATAGATAAAAGTGATGTCATGGAATAAAAAATAATTAAAATTATTATCATTTACTTAAAAATGAATAAAACATGCCAATTCTTACCAAGGAAAAAGTTCGGTCACACTATGCACTTCTACATGATCTCATTTGCCTGACATGACCTCAATTAAATGTTTTCTGTAATTGTCTTCCAGTCTCTGACATCCGTTGAGAAACAAAAAAAAAAAAAAAAAAAAAGATTTAACCAGTCTTCCATACAGAATTCTTTCAGCTGTGTGATGTTTCGTGGGTGTCTTGTAGGTAAAGCTCGTTCCAAATCACCGCACATGATCTCAACAGAATTAAGATTCGAGCTTTGATTTAGCTATTCCAGAACTCGCAAATTCTTTCTTTTGAACAATTCCTTGGTGGATTTACTTGAATCTTTTGAGTCATTGCAATGCTGTATGGTTCACATCCCTTTAAGCTCCAACTTTCAGACAGATGGTATCACATTTTTCCTCAAGCACCTTCTGGTACAATGAAGAATTCATAGTAGATACTATCTATGTTGGTGAGCTTTCCAGACCCTGCTGCAGAAAAAAACCCCCAAAAAACCCACACCATGACATTTTCACCTCCATACTTCACGGTTGGTATAAGATTCTTGTGTTCTGATTCTATCTTTGTTTTGTGCCAAACATGCTTTTCTTCTTCTTCTTCTTCTTCTTCTTCTTCTTCTTCTTCTTCTTCTATGTACCGTGTCTTTTTAGGGTGTTTGTGATCATGGATCTCCACAATTCCTTGCCCTTTGTAGATCTTCATATATTTTGTCTTTTGTTATCTCTTTCAATCTCTGTCCCCTTGCGATCAATCTGTCCTCTGAGTATCACATTTTCCAAGCCCTCTTTCCTCATTAAGTGCCCCAGAAATTTTAATTGTCACTTCCTGGGTGTAAAATATAATTGTCCTTTTTGCTTAAATTTTCTCTAAAACTTCGTTGTTGCTCACATGTTCGGTCCATGCTATTCTAAGCATCCTTCTGTAGAACCACATTTCTGTTGCCTCAAGGTGCTTCTTCATCGTTGAAAAGATTGTCCAGCATTCATTGACATACAGGAAGTCAAATACTAAATAACAATTCAGTACTCTTTTCTTTGTTTCTCACAAATTTTTCTGTTTCTTAATACTTATCTTTTGAAAGGCATCTTTCGCTATACCAATGCGTCTTCGGATTTCAGTGTCGCACTTTCCATCCTCAGTGAAAATGATTCCCAGATATTTAAATTGTTGTATCTGTTTGATTTTGGTATCTCCAATTTGTAACTTTCATTTTGGGTTGTTCCTCTTGCTAACAGCCATGTTTTCTATTACCGTCGTCCTAGTTATGACGATAAACTACGTCCAATAGCAAGGTCTCTGGTCAGGAGGTTTTTTTGGGGGAATGAAACCACCTCTTAATTGATGGTGTTCCCAGGTCCACTATGACCCAGGGTGGTAGCACCGTTTCGTGTCCCAGCTATGGGCAAATAGTTAACCCCCAAACTGGTGTAAAACACTATGAAAGGGTAAAAATAGGATTTAATACCAGAAATACTTTGTGAAAAATTATTACCAGCAATAA